GTGTGGACTTCGACTCCTAGAACTGTGTGGCCGTCAACTCCTAGAACTGTGTGGACTTCGACTCCTAGAACTGTGTGGACTTCAACTCCTAGAACTGTGTGGACTTCGACTCCTAGAACTGTGTGGACTTCAACTCCTAGAACTGTGTGGACTTCGACTCCAGGCTGGCTGGAGAATTCTAGGAGTTGAAGTCCACACATCTTAAAGTTGCTGAGGTTGAGAAACACTGGTCCAAGTCTTCAAGATCTACTAGGGCTGGTTGTTCTTCATTGCAGAATGATATTCCTCTTCAGTTTCTGCTTTTGCTTTAAAGGGGCAGAAGAACAAGTGCCTTGAGCCAAGGTTATCCCTATCATTTTTCCAAGTTCTCCTTTTCTGTGTCTCCCTCCAGGAGCTTCTGCCTTGGAATGCATCAGCTCTACTCTTATTCAACGTAACTACCCCCTTAACGAAACAGAGTTTCAGATTTCCTCAGAAACTAAAAAGATCATCTGTTCCATGGATGAAAATGCTTGTGAGGAGGTGCAGCTGATACTCAAGATAGGTAAGCGAAGATCTAAAAATGAACCTATCCCGCAAGATGTGACACGGCATTTTTCATGCATTCAGAATTCAGGAGTAAAAATTGAACTAAGTTTTTTGCAAATACTAGAAGCTGAGTATTCATTGTCTGTGTAATATTCTGGGGGGTGGGGGGGGGAATCAACTATTTTCTGCCACACGCTGTGAAGAGAAATGAATCTTTTCCTTTCCCCATCGCAGCTGCAGTAAGATTGTCCCCACAACGCACTCAGTGGCTGCCTCTGAAAATCTGAGCAACACGTATTCCCCTTCCAACACAAACTGAGGGATTTTTTTTTTATACACTGAGGAAGACACAGGGCAAATAAATGTACAGTGAGAAATAACTTCCTTAGAGCTTTGTTCAGAAAAAAAAAAAAAATCAAAAGGAACTTTTTCTTATTTGGAGCTATCAGTAACAGCTGGCAGCAATCTGAAGCACCTCCCAGTTGGGTGAGGACACTCTTAGTTTTATAACGGGTTAAAGCTGACATTTACATTTAATCATCCCATATTAACCATTATGCTGCAAATGCAGATGGAGCTCGAAAAAAAGCTTAAAACCTGTGTCTTCAGGCCAGAACTGGACTCCAACCATCACTGAAGCATCAACAATGACCTCACATACCAAAGCATTCCCCAGTGTGGTGCTGTTAACATCTATTGAGAGAATGACCCTTAGCGACCTTTCCCAGTTGCTAGCTGGGAATTCTGGGAGGTGCAAATACATCTGAAGAGAGCCCGACTGTGAAGCATTGCAAGACACGAAGTATCTCCAGAGGGCAAAATGAAGACAGGTCTATTCCTTTCTCCAGATATGGTCAAAGGATGAAAATCCTCCTTTGATATCTACTGGTGGGGTTTTTTTTTTCCCAGAAGCCTCTTGTAATGTGAGTAGGAAGATACCTCCCAGCTGACTGGCCAGCTTCAGAGAAAAGCTACCTAGTAGCCAATCAGAATGAAGACTGTACTTCCAGTCCTCACAGAAAAGGGCTTCTCAGGAATATGGTGGCTGCGGGAAGTTCATTCCCATAAAACAAGCAGTGTCAGAAAAAAAGAAAAGCTAGAATTTTGAAGCCCTTGCCCCCAAACCCAAAGTATCTGTGGAGCCCTTTTGGCTTAGCTTATACAGGCAGTCCCCAGTTTAAGAATGAGTTCCATTCCCAAGGTCTGTCCTTAAGTTGAACTTGTATGTAAGTCAGAGCAGTATTATTGTATAATACTGTATAAGTAGTATTGTGTAATGAACTTGAACCATTGTGTATTTAACTCGATTTTGCTATAATAGGCTCCGTTCTTAACTATGGGCAGTCTGTAACCTGTGCGTCCTTAACCTGGGGACTCCCTGGTAACACAGATTTCTCTCACAGATTAAAAGGAGCTGCTTGGGCTACATTGCCAGAAGCTGTTCAACTTTCAAAGCTAAACTTAAACCTCTTGATCCATCCACAGCTGATTTCCTAGCATCCAATTTCTCGAAGTCCAGATCCTTGGCACGATCTGCCATAATGTAAATCCACAATTTCTCTCTTTTCTTCTTCTTCAGACAGAAATGCTTTGTTAGTAACCCACAGAGGCTGTGCTATCAAGGACCTGTACAGTGGCCCAGAATCCATCACCACTGGTCATCAGCACTACAACATCCAGTCCAACATGAGCTATTGTTTCCATGACCTCTGCAATGCAAACTTCACAGATGAAATAATCCTTCTGAATCCTGATGACTACAAAGGTAAAATGTGCCCCCCCCCCCCAGATAGATCATGACTGTTCATTGTGGAGACAGAAGAGGTCACCTTAATTTTTTTCAAAAAGTAAAGGAAGGCAGGGGTCCCTTCCCTTTGAGAGCTGAATGACAAGCAAAATTGATCAGGTAGAGATACTTGGGCCATGCAGATCCAGTAACAATTCTCACCAGTTTCTGCCCACTGTGCAATGACAGAGAAGACAACAGCAGGCTTGGCAGAAGGAAAGGAGGGACAGTTCTATAAAAGGGGAAGATGTTTCTGTTGACCCCAGGTGGATCACTTATAGGAGGGTTAGGATGCAGGAGTTAGTAAAAAATTGGGGTATGGGTTCTTTATTATTCCCTTTCACTTGTTATCCAAGCATCTGGAGCCAACGATTCAGCCCAGTGTTATTCCAGCCTCAGTTTTGACTCTTCAGAAGCTATCCAGGACCACGTGAGATGCAGCGAAGGCTACAACCGGTGCTCTTCTGGCATAATCAGTGTCACAGACGGTCAGTGCGACAAAGCTTCTTTGTCACTAAAAGCTTGCAAAAAGTAGCCTGGATCTCTAAAATGGTAGGAGGGAGGAATGGGGGGAAATGTTGTAGGCCATTAGAAGAAGGTTTTGGTGGAAAGAAGGGGAAGAAAGTTGCACCATCAAGGGTCTTCTCTCATATTACACAAGAGCAAAACCAGATTTGTGATTAAATGAGGATGCATTTGAGAGCAGAAGGACAGCTAAACTCAGTTGTCCAGCGAGTCAGCCCATGCAATACCCAACATCTGATGGGGTTTTTTTGAAAAAGAAACTCACAGCCTTAATGCCGGAATACCAGCATGTTTATTTCTAATCTTGTTTGAATCTGAGGGTGGTGCTGATCCAGAGAGAGAGAGAGAGAGTTGTGCCATTTCAAAAATCTGTTGCTAAACCAGCCACTGTGGTTAGTGGCGTGTGCAGATTACACATCCCATCTTTTTGTGGGTGCCTGTGCATTTTGTACAGCAGAAAGAAATCCATTGGTCTTTAAAAAAAAAAACCAGCTTAAATATATAAGAAAAACATTGGGTTTTTCCTTATAATAAAGAGGAACCTCTACAACAAACTGGTTAGGGCAGATATAACATTTTTGAGCAATGAGGATGTCCAGCAAGCAAGTCTTTTTCTCTCTGGTGCAAAGATGGGAAGTAGAAACTTTTACTTTGAAAGAGGAGGATACCGTTCTTCCCCCCAATGTCTCCTATCTCTCTTCTTCTCTCCCCACTTTCCAGGAAGTATTTCTGTGCTCATCTACACCAAGGCTTGCCAGCAGCACCCCAACTGTACTGTCCCCCAGAAACAATCCTTTGGCTCCATAGCAATCATCAGCGAGAGCAGCTCCTGTTGTGTGGGCAGTTACTGCAATCAAAACGAAACTGCAACTCGCGTCCCGGACAGCGTAGAAGCTTCTAGAGAAAGCCCTGATTACGGCAACAACCATTTCCCCTTGGATCCAAATTCGGACAGTGACAGTGAGGACCACAAAGCTCATGACCCTTGGAGCACTGATCCCCAGTTTCCTGTCCCTGCATTTAGGCCCTTCATTCTTGTCTCAAGAGCTCCCTCTCTTGCATTTTGCTCCCTTGTCATAGTCCTAGGATGTACGATCCTGGGGATATTGTGGTGAGATATGGGATCCCCTTGATTCAAAGTCTGGGAAAGATGGCTTGCAGCCATAGATATCCGCAGGAGGGCAATGGAAACAAATGATGAATCGCGTATGGCAATGGTGCAACAGAAATTCCTTTAAGTTCCTGCATCAAAGCAAGGGGCTATCTCTGCTTGTTTGTTTTAATGGATCTGCTACTCTGCCCTGTCCATCTCACCTAAGCCCAAATGCTTCCTGCTATATCCTTGATTTTAGCTAAAAGGCAAGGAAACATAAAAAAACAGATTACAGCCCAACCGTCGTGAGATGATCAGGTTCAGTTCCTTGTTCCTTAGCAGCTTTAGATCAGGCCCATGTAATTGATCTGTTACTTAATACGAATTGTACTTAATAAAGATGAAACAGGATCAAAGCTGTGAGTGCTTTGGAATATGTTATTAACATTTCAACTGTACCTCTTGCATTTTCTTTTTCTGTTTTCTTTTTCTGTATTCATTTCCAGGACAGATGTAAAGAATTGGTCATGGTCATTATCTTTAAAGTCAGAGAGAGTTTGAAGACGGGTTATTTACAGGAAGGAATGTGGAAGCCTATGAACCTGCTCAGGTTCTGCTGGCTGGGGAATTCTGGGAGTTGAAGTCCACCCATTGTAAAGTTGCCATGGTTGGAAAACACTGCTGTAAACTAAAAGCATCACTTTGGAGAAGTCAGCTCCCTTTCTGGAAACGTTATCCATTTTTGCACGGGATCCAACTGAAATATAAATTACAACCAGAGCAAGCAACGATCTCTTTCTTCCGGTACTGCTTGTTGAGAAATAATAGAAATAGAAATCTTTATGGCACGTGTATTTTACAAGGTGTTGTTTTGGGGCTATTCGTTTCCTCCTCCATGAAAACTAAAATCACGAGAGTGCGCTGTGATCCTGGTTTTAACAAGCCTGCTCAGATACAGTGTACTTGGGAAACAGAGAACAAGAGCAATGATGCAGCTGGGTCACTAGAGGGCAACTATCTCACGTGGCTATTGATGCTATGAATATGCACACTTAGATTATCCTTTTATTGCACACCTTCCAAATGTGCATTGTTCTTTACTGGGGATAGTACAGTGCCCAAGTTCCATAACAAGTGTGATAAAGCAGGGTTCCTCAACCTCAGCCACTTTAAGATGGGTGGACTTCAACTCCCAGAATTCCCCAGCCAGCCGGAATAATTGTTTTCCACCAAACGGGAACCAAAAGGGAAAATGCTTCCTATGTAAGGAGCAATAGAATGAGCAGCATTTAATTAATTAAATTTTAACTGAGCTTAGTCAAATTAAGGATTTGCCTTGGCTCTGCTCCCTTCTTAGTCCGATCTCACAGCCTGTCGCCATAGGCCAGCGGTGTCCTTAATGTGAATAAGTTACATTTGGCATACTTTCTACGGGGGTTACTTTTTTCTGATCGTTCTGGTACAGAAATATTTATCTAATATTTTCAAAAGGCAAAGCTAATTGTACCTCCTTTATCCACTGTTGTCCAGGGTCCCAGAATAAATCAACAACATCAACAAAATAATTATCAACAAAATGATCATCAACATCACCAAATTATCATCAAAATGATCATCAAAATCAAAATAATTATCAACAAAATCAACAGAATAATTATCAGTCATGACAATGTTCTTATTATTTGGAAGCAGTACATCTCAAATGTTAATTCATTTTTGTTTGATATTATAACCCAATAATTATTTCAGTTTTAGATTTAGTGAAGGGTTAGAACTAAGGAGAGTCCCAATTACCACCATTATTCCAATGAACAGGGTGTCCATATCATGAAGACATTTTACAAACCAGGGAAGAAGAGTGAAACGTGTGGCATTTTGGAAGAACACTTGATATTAACTTTTTAAATGTTGTTATTTTTCTTTTCTGATTCACTGCCAAATATTGACTACCCTTTTACTACTGGGACACCCTGTAATTAGAGTATCAATTTAAAGTAAAAGCAAAGAGATTCCAACATTAGTCAGGCCTGAGACTTGCTGGGTGAGTTTGGGCTGGTTTAGAGCTGTGGAGTCCTTGGTGCTCTCTGAACTCGGTTGTTTGCTTGCAGACGTTTCATTACCCAACTAGGTAACATCATCAATATGAGTGAGTGTGGGGTTTGCTGCGCGTAGACACATAGAAATAAACCATATTTTCACACCATTCAAAAGAGACAATAAAAAAGCTAAGAAGAAATCAAAAAGACCAGAACAAAAAGACCAGGTTCTCTCCAGCAGCCAACATCCAGATAAGCAGGAATTAACACCAGACAAACAATCAAGCAGAAAACAACACCCTAGTCAAGGAACTACCAAGGAGAAAACCACACCCCCACCAAACTGGCAGGGCAAGCTACTGTATATAAACAGGGAGCAAACTCCACACTCACTCACACTGATGATGTTACCTAGTCGGGTAATGAAACGTCTGCAAGCAAGCAACCAAGCTCAGAAAGCACCAGGTTTGAACACTCCATAGTTCAAACCTGAGCTACAGATATTCTCTTCTCTTGGTTTAGAGCTTGTTGTTGTTCAGTCGTTAAGTCGTGTCTGACTCTTCGTGACCCCATGAACCATATTG